TATATATATATATATATATATAATGTATACATATCTAATATATTATAACATATAAAGTAAGCCATATATTGCCCATATACAACACCGGGCGTGAATTCCGATTGCTACGCACTTGAGATCAAAGTTCTCGGGGTAAGACGTCGTCTCCGTGCGTGGGTAACTGATGTAGCCCTGCGTGTACAGCCTCTCAGCGACCACCATCGCACTCTGCGGTGACAGACCAAGCGTAGCGCTCGCCACTCGCATCAGCTCTACGGTGTTCAGTGCGATCGGTCGTTGCTTCACCTTCTCCTTCTTGCTCACATCCGTGACACTGCGCGAAAACCCGGTGGATGTCACATGCCGTGTCGTTTAATGTCAAGTTTGTAAATAAAGACACCGTAAATTCAGCGAACTAAGTGTAACTGTGAACTCAGTGAACTAAGTGTAACTGTGAACTCGGTGAACTAAGTGTAACCGTGAACTAAGTGTAACTGTGAACTCAGTGAACCAAGTGTAACCGTGAACTCAGCGAACTAAGCTATATATACCAGTATACCATCAAAAGATTTACATGGCTTTGTTGGTGGTCTTGACTTTATTGAGAAACAGTTGGGCCACGTCTTTGTCAAATATGCGCACTCTCTCCCAATCCAATGTCACGACATTTCCATTTGGTAAAGTCACCTAGATGTACAAAATATGCACCATATCATTTATTTTGTTTTAAAGCTTTCATGGATTATATTCATCATATAAGCAATCATCATGGCCAAAATAACTATATTATCAATGTTAATAATGTTAAATCACATATCTATACCAAATTTCTCTATATGTACTTTAATGAATTATTGGCTGTATATTTACCTGTGGTTGTAGCACCCAGTATGTTTCAGGTATAAAAGACTGTATCTGGTCATGCCGATCAACACAGAACCCCAGTGTAGGTGTTTGGCAGGGTCCGTATGATATCAGGGAGCTATCTAGATTGCCATACTTCCCCTGTAAAATATTTCTGTGTTTATAGGCAAGTCTTGCCATCATCTAAGTTTTACTAATATGCCATAAGAATGCCCAATATTCCACAATTTCTCTGTGACACAAGTCCACCTCACTAATGTCAAATTATGTGGTAATTGACATCATTTGAAATCTCCAAATTAAAAGCTGAATCATTGGAATAAAAACTTGCAATAAAGTGTCTAACACTGACAACAGCAAGGTTGAAATAACCTACTAATTATCAAGCATTTTATTTAAATACACACTGTAGCATTACATACAATGCTCTCATAGTATTACACATACCTCTCATTATATACAGGTGCCCGCATACTATTACATACCTGGAAAAACTTTGTCTGAAATCTGGTAAAGGCACAACCTATTCGCAAATCGAGTTCCTGCCTTGCATCAACAGCCAACGATTCATTCTTATTGGGTGCCACAAGAGTGGTCATTGCTCCTTTGATGTCCTTATCAGTTATGGCACTGAATCTGGCTCGATAGATGTACTGCACAAAAATTCAAGGCATGTGGCATATATTGTATTTTCAGCAAAGTATTAAAGATGATCAGGAGTCTATCAATAGATTATGATATATTGATAGACTCGATCCTGATATTATGTAAGAGGTTCATGACTTAGAGTTACTGTCATAACACCTATTAAGACGCTCTCGCACCACCAATTGTCAAACGTTCACCTCGACTAAACTCCACCTATCTCGATAATCCAAACAGATAAGCAAGGCCAACAGTACGTACAAATCATCCATGCCCACATTCTTCTCAGTGCCCATGAATATCTGTGAATCACACACCAACTGTAACCAGGTTAGAACTAGAAATGAACTTTTGAACAAGGGACACTACTCCCTGCCCTCAAAAAGAGGGCGTCCACAGCAAAATGAGGGAGTCCACAGTCTTAAGTTCAAAATTAAAGATATTAACAATAACGCATACATGTGCTTATTTTGAAGATTCATGCGGTTGCACGTCTGCCAAATTTTCTTTAGACATTTGCTGAAAAAAATACGGTAATTCCGCGAGGCCGTGTTCTGGAACGAACTAGTTAGTATGGCAGAATTTTGAGGGAGTCACACAGACTCCTGCATGTGTCAGATCAGGGAGTCCGACAGTAAATCAGGGAGTCCGACAGTAAATCAGGGAGTATTTGACTCCGGACTCCCGTTAATTTTGCACGCTGTGTACCTGCTCATTTCCTTGTGGTTTGTTCATCACTCTGTCAACTGCATCGATCACCTCAAAGCAGATATTCTCGCCTTCCTTGTCGCAATCTAGCCAGAGGACCAGGTAGTCTGCTCCTCGTGCCTACACCATACAGCAGGTAATTAATTAAAAACTAATTAAACAAATTAATAAAAAATTTATATATTCAGGGTACCCTGTTATATAATGCCAATGATATATTACCAGTGCTCCCTAAAGCAACATTATAAACATGGTAAAGGTATTTAGATTGTTTCAGTATGCAAATTTAATATATAAGATGAAATCTGCTATTAAAATCATTTTACATCACAAACTTCCAAATTTTCGAAACTGCGCTATGATATGTAGGGATTCTCTAATATATAAGATCATGTTGAATCTAAAACATCACAAAAAATCTCATTAAAGTTAACAATACCTCCTGAGACAAAAACACCGGCATTCGTAATTTAGGGGTCGATTCCTTTTTCTCAGTGGTTGCTGAGAACAACTCCGCCTACAAGTAAGTGATGAAACAAACACTGCTTCATTCATTACAAAATTTGTGTTCATATTTTCTCCAAGCAATCACGATCGCAAAACATTCATTAATTGCCAAACTTGAATTTTGTTAAATTTTATACTTAAAATTCTTACAGGATCAACTCTGTTCCAGTCATTATATTTTGCAGTGAAGTCGAGCCCAAACACATGGCCACACACAGACGTCATCTTAAATCTGAAAATTTAACACAAATTACTTAGTGCAAATTAAAATTTAAATAGGTAATTGAACTTGGTTTCCATGGGCTACTATATGTGTTATAACATCAATATAAAAATACATGAATATACGGTAGAAGAATCATAGTTAGTATACTTATAATAGACATGTATAGACGCATTATTTAATTTGTTTCCAATATGCCAGTTCACCTCGCAGATTGGCCTCTGAAGGTGCCAGTGTACTCATGCACTGAGCACGCTCCATTGGAACCCTTCTTAGAGTTCAGGCTGCCATTGGAAAGTATCTTGGCAAGTGATAGGGCCAGAGATGGCTTCTCCGCTACCATAAATACAGTCTTCATTGTGCCAGACCTGTAAGTTAAAGTAGTCAATGCAAACATCAGGCTTAAAAATTGGGGGAATCTATGAGCTGGACTTAATCCTACATTAGTTTTAATTAGATATACCAGTACATAAATCAACATGGACCTGTCTCGTGCAGAATGTGTGAGAATTGTGAACTTAGTGTGGGTGCATAGATACCAATATATACTACTACTACTACTACTACTACAGGAAACTTGTAGAGTGTAGATTACAATGTAATCCATACAATACATGATTACGATACCTGTAGCTGTAGCTGTGGTAGCTGTAGCTGTAGCTGTGGTAGCTGTAGCTGTACCAAGACATATGGGCCACTATTCCATTTATAATCAGAGGGAACAAATATTTTTGGGATTGGACTATTTTAATTATCTGGGAACCAGAAATTTGTCATGAGCATTTTGTCATGATTTACCATTTGGGAATAAAGGCGAACAATGGGGAAATTCCTCCTACTACCACTAGGCCCTAGAAATAGTACTAATAGCCAACAAAGTTACAAACCATTGTCACCAACACCCATAGTCAATTCGCCCTCCATCACTGCAAAATGTGCACTAACTAACAAATTAGTGTCACTAAGTGTGATACAATTGATTAACAATATCAAACTTCAAAGACATGATAAATCAAATGCTGTCAGTGTCAGCATGTTAGCCCGACCAGGCGGTGACAGTGTCAGTGTGTGACTATCGTCAATATACACATGTATCTTGATGTATTACTGTTTCTTGGTGCTATCAGCATGTGTGAGTTGTAATACTAATAGTACTTAATTAGTACTAGTTGGCCTAGTAACGAAAAGAAATTTTTGCAATCTCAAATCTAAAATTTGTGCCTGCATGTGACGTACATGATATATACTACATACGTAACATCATAAGCGAAAATAAAAACCCACCACCACTGCCTATCCGATAATGCACATCAACTACTGAGTTGGCTCTAGTACTATAGCCCGCGTACAGTTGCCGCTGGCAGTTACCGCTGCCAGTGGCAACTCGATGCAGGCTAGTATAGTCACTAGCAGCAAGAACAAGTCCGCTGCAGCTACAGCACACACGACGCCATTGACTATATATATACTACGTAGTAATGTATCGTGTGGTATATATGGTGTCGTATCGTATATAACAGCGTCGTGTGTGCTGTAGCAGCAGCGGACTTGTTCTTGCTGCCAGTGGCTATAGTACTAGCGCTACTACTGAGTTAAACCGACCAGGCTCTCCGACTGTTACACAGCGGAGGACTGTAACCCTCTCGCTAGACCGAATGATTCTGTCCCATATAACCTTTTTTATATTTTGGTGAGGGTTATCAATCTATAAGGGCTATAAATCAATAAATATTATTGGGAGAGAACGGGGTTCATTGAAATTTTGTGAGATCGCATGCAAAGTGCATGCGCTGCGAATGCGGCCCGTACGCCGCTATTGGCGAAAAAAAACACCTACCGTTCCCTTCTACATGGCTTTACCTTGCTACTGATATGTGTATACAGTCGAGTCACTTCAATGGTTATTCACTTCTTAAAAGATTGTTTTTCAAAAACCCCGCTTCATTTAATTTTAGTAAATTACGTTCGCCATTTACAAACAATCAGACCAATCAGAGCAAGTCTTACAATAGCCCCTGGTTCTCGCTTGTATCTGTGGCGCTGCAGGAGGGCCGATAGACTCGCTCTGATTGGTCTGATTGTTTGTAAATGGCGAACGTAATTTACTAAAGTTAAATGAAGCGGGGTTTCTGAAAAACAATCTTTTAAGAAGTGAATAACCATTGAAGTGACTGTATACAGTCATATATACACATATCAGTAGCAAGGTAAAGCCATGTAGAAGGGAACGGTAGGTTTTTTTTGGCGCCAATAGCGGCGTACGGGCCGCATTCGCAGCGCATGCATTTTGCATGCGATCTCACAAAATTTCAATGAACCCCGTTCTGTCCCAATAGCCCTCACCAAAATATAAAAAAGGTTATATGGGACAGAATTATTCAGTCTACCCTCTTGCCACGTAGTGTTAAGCGAGATGGGAACTTGTGGCTACTACTGAGTTAGCTCTAGCACAATAGCCCGCATACAGTTGTCGCAGGACTATATATGCTATATGGACTATGTTGCCTGCGGCAACTGTACGCGGGCTATGGTACTAGAGAGCAAGGATCGAGAGCTACGGCCCTCTACGGTTCAAGAATAGAGAACATGGGTCCCAATAAAACCAATATCATTTACATCACAGGGTTCTCCTTACGTTGCGCAAACAGGGCGCGCGCGCCCTGTTTGGGAAAACTCCCCCCTGTTTGAATCGTTGCGCCCCGTTTGAATTACCTCAGCCCCGTTTAAATTCCACCACAATAAAAGTTTGCCAGCGCGGGGAATCGATCGTCAAGAATTGCCGTTCGACCAGGACCTCCCACACATGCACTGCAGACAGTACACAAGTTAACCTGACAATGCACATGCAGTTAACTAGTCCGAGATTCCTCTGACCAATAACGAATTCCTCTGACCAATACCCACACCGACGATTTTGGTGGTTTTGGTGTGGGTTCCTCTAACCCACACCAAAACCACCAAAATCCGTCGGTGTGGGTATTGTCAGCAGGAATCTCGACTAGCAGCTTAACCTGTCACTAACTGTACACCGACTCGGCTATCTATAATATACAAGAACCCCAAATACCGTCTATGGTGTGGTCGGCGATTTTACGCATTAATTAGTCGTACGGTAAAATACACGCCCCCCGGAGCCCCCCTAGTTTCCCCCCTCCCCCTACTCCCTCCCTCCCCTCTGTTTGAATTTCATCCTGGGAGAACCCTGCATCAATAAAAATATAATATTATATCAATATAATAGGTTAGGGTTCTGGTTAGGGTTAGGGTTAGGATTAGGGTTAGAATTAGGGTGTTAGGTTAGCACATTGGTTTATTGGGACCCATGTTCTCTATCCTGGACCTTGGCCCAATCTACTACTGAGGTAGACCGAATAATTCTGTCCCATATAAACTTTTTATTTTATTTGGTGAGGGTTATATTAGCCCAATATAACCCTCACCAAAATATAAAAAAAGGTTATATGGACAGAATATATTCGGTCTACTACTGAGGCAGTGAGTGAACTACTTCAAGTTCAACTGAACTAGGCCTAGTACTAGTAGTAGTTATTATAGACTAGTAGTATACCTGAAACCTCGGCATAAAACTTGAGATTTTGTAGGCTATCGATCGCCGGCTTTCAGTTTCAGAATTACTAGACTTTCGAGTTTACACTTTTACACGTTTATAGTTACTAACACATCATGGGCGCTGCCATGTTGGTAGCTTGGTAAGTGTGACGTGTGACGCACTGCAAGGGGGTCGGCGCATATTCACCGCCCCAGGCATATATTTATTATGGTGGTAATCTAACCGTGTATAATACGAAGAGCTAATAATACCTATTATTCCTTATGATAGTGATACCTATTATTATAAAGTATTATTTCTTGATAATACAGTCGTTATTTTCCATACGGCTCCCTCTAACTATGGTAGACTAGTACTCGCTCCCACCTAAATTACTCGATTGCTCGATTACACGATACTCGATCCTAACCCTAAGCCGAGAAGTGGGACCGGGTACCAGTTATAACTCTAGTGAGTAGGCCCTCTAGCGGCCGTTACGATGAGGCGGTGGTAATCAGTTTTAAAATGAATAATGCCTTATCAGAAGCATGCACTATTTGCAGTTATAAATTCAATTTAAGTAACTTGAAACAGGAAAGTAGGCCGCAATATTTTGAAGACTCACGACCAGGTGGATATTCTGCATGAAATTGCTCTGATATTTAACACTGATAGAGAATCGCTTTTGAGTGTGCACTTCAGGTACAGTTGCCAGAGTTGGGCAGGTCGGACTTGTCAATCTTTGGACCTTTTTCTTTTTATTTGTAAAAGGTGTTACGCTCTACTTAAGCAGCATGTGACTGCAAGGAACAAAGCCACTGATACATTAAATTGCCTTAGACTCGGGGAGTAGGCGTTTATTTGACAATCATTATTATGACGACACGAAAGAGAATAAGGCCATCCAGTTGTCACCATCAAGAGGAAAAAAAAGAGGCAGAAATGTCTTGACACCTGTGAAGACGGGCTTCACACCTACTCCCAAGAGAGGAGTCTCTCGTCACCATGAAGACACTGGGAGATTCCGCCATCGAAAGGGGTTATTCACCAATCTAAAGATCGAGACCCCCAGAAACATCGCCTGCTGACAACTCCACCAGTTCGGTTACAGTGAGTACCAGGCTTCTCTCCTACGTTGCGCAAAAGCGGCGGCGCTGCTGCAGCCCTGTTTGGCAGAAACTCCCCCCGTTTCAATCGTGCGCTGCCCCGTTTAAAATTACCTCCGCCCGATTAAATTACCAACCAGCAATAAAAAGTTTGCAGCCGTGGGAATCGATCGTCAAGAAGTCCAATTGGAACCAGGACCCCCAACGCCGTGTATTTTTTACCGTACCACGCATGCAACTGCAGGACCCACGCACAAGTACAAAACAGTCAACCTGTCCCGACCCAACACTAAATGTACACGACTCGGCTATCTTAATATATGCTCTAGAACCCCAAATACCGTCTATGTGTGGTGGTGGCGATTTATACGTATTAATTTGTTGGCTGCGGTAAAAACACCCCCCCGGACCCCCTAGTTTCCCCCTCCCTTCTCTCCCGCCCTCACCCACCCCCTCCCCCTGCTTTCAATTTCATCGCTGGGAGAATCCTGAGTACGCCGTACATATTGATGCTCATTTCAAACAAAATACCCAGGTATATCGAACGGTGTGTGTTTATTTAAATTTTGCTTTAAAAAAATGATAATTGCAGTTTTGATTCAAAGACATTCCCTCTCCCCCAAATACAGTACCATAAAATAAATTAATAACTGATCTGACAAAATAAAATGAATAAAACTAATTAATATAAAAATAAGAAAAATAATAAAATAAATGACAAAATTGGTATATTGTTAGATACGCAATAATGTACCCAAACACAGGATAGGGTAGCACGCAAGTCTATCCTTTTTGTGTGGAGGAACCGCTTGAGTGAATCACTCAGGGCCGGTTTGCTGGTGCGTTTTCGAGACTAGAACTTCCAAACTGGCGTTGTTATTCTCAACACGAACCTTTCTCCGCTATTCCCGCGAGACTTACTATGTAATCACAATACTCTGTATATTAAACTAATATAACCTGTTAACAAAATATTCGAAGTGACGAGCGGCGTATACACTGAGCGCATTTCTGTTGACCGTTCAGCACGTACATCAATTTTTCCCGAAGCGAGTTATGCAATTAGTTTAAAGCAGAGGCATCCGATTAGTAGTCGAATAAGCGGAATCCGCCTAAAAGAGTTGTCCGATGTAAAGTAAATGGAAATGTATACGACCGCATTGATTTTGTACGGTATTAGTATCAGGTATGTAAAATTGAAGCTCGAATGCGGGAAATTCTGAGTCCAATGGAAGCTATCCGAATGCACCTGCAAACCGGCCCTGAATTGATTTCCAACTCAGGGCGTTTCTCTAACACAAACGGATAGACTCGCGGACTCCGGGTGTATTCCCTATCCTTGTTTGGGTTACATTATTGTATCCTAGTATATATTGTATGTGTTGTGTATATGTATTTGATGTGCAACAAGATTTTTGTTTGAAAAGGTATTCATTGAGGAAAAAAATATGACACACATGTCGAGAATTTCCTAGGAACATGATTTTACCGTTTCAAAATTGCCTTTTCCGTTTGCGGAAAATCATGAATTCTGTTCCAAAGTAAAAAAAAAATGGAAATTCCGTTTGCTATAAAGGATTGTACAACGCCAAAAATGCAAATTTCGTTCACATATATATTGGCATCGAAAAAAAAGTATTTGCGTACAACCTTTGAAACGAACCGTGACACCGGCCACGAAACACACAGGAGTTACCAAACAAGTCGTAATTGTAAGTCATTTCGGCTCTGAAACGTTGTCTGAATGTAAACCATATCATTACCAATGCTATTGCTCGGACTGTTTTTTTGTAGATTTCTATTGAAATTTCCAATGTTGTAATATATTTCAAATGCGTTTTCCGCATTTTTCCGTTTGACAAACATCTTTTTCCGTCTTCCAATGGCCGTTTCCGTGTTTTCGCGTCTTTTGCGTTTTCTTGCGATCGGCGGAAAATTATCTGTCGCCTAAATATTGTCCCTCTAAGTCTGGCATCTTGTATTGAAATATATGAAAGTTATGCAAGTGTTACATTTACAGTTTATGGATACTACAATAATCTCTATGTACACCAAAATAATATTCTAATAATATCATATAACAAAAAATATGTTAGAAGTCTTGTGGGACAACCACAACGACAGGAGCCGACAACCGACCGCACGTATCCCTTCCCTGCCGCTGGAGACGAAATCATGGACGCACCGGGGGCGGAGGTTTCGTTGCGTATTCAAAACCGCATTTCCACGTTAAATCAGACAATTTTCAAAATCCCGATAACACCATCCTCGGATATATTGTTGTATGTCCCTCCTGATACTCGGACAAGAGCAATCGGAATTAATTTTATAGACCGTCTGGGTGGATTCAGGTAATTGGATTATCTACGTTGGTAGTCCTGAACTGCCTCACCACGTGCCGTGCAGAGGTGATTTCCT